TTTTTTCAAATTTCAGACCCCAAAATTAAGGTGTGTATTATACATGGGGAAATATGGTATATAGTTTATGAAGTGATCCCCCAATAAGTTTAGTACACATCCAACACTATACATAGTTTTTACAATATTATTGACTATATTCCCTGTACTGTATTTCACATCCCTGTAACTATTTTGTAACTACCAACTTAAACTACCTAATCCTTCACTTTTCTCACTCACCTTCCTAAGCCCTCTCCCATCTAGCAACCATCAATTTGTTCTCTGTATCTATGTGTCTATTGCTGTTTTGTTTGTTCTTTTATTCTGTTCTTTAGATTCCACATATGTGAGATCATATGGTATTTGTCTTTCTCGGTCTGACTTATTTCACTTACCATAATACCCTCTAGATCCAACTATGTTGTTGCAAATGGTAAAACTTCATTCTTTTTTATGGCAGAGTAATACTCCATTATATAAATTTACCACAATTTTTTTATCCAATAGTCTATTGTTGGGCATTTCTGTTGTTTCCATATCTAGGCTATTGTAAATAGTGCTGCAGTAAACATAGGGGTGAATGTATCTTTTTGAATTTGTGTTTTGGATTTTTAAAAATAAATACCCAGGAGTAGTTTTACTGGGTCATAATGTAAGGTCATAAATTATATTTAATTTTTTGAGAAGACTCATACTGTTTTCCATAGTGGCTACACCAATTTGCAATCCCACCATTAATGCATAAGGGTTCCCTTTTCTTCACACTCTCCCCAGCACTTGTTTATTGATTTATTGATGATAGCCATTCTGACAGGTGTGAGGTGATATTTCACTGTGGTTTTTATTTGCATTTCTCTGATAATTAGTGACATTGAGCATCCTTTCATAGGTCTATTGGCCATCTGTATGTCCTTTTTGGAGAAATGTCTGTTCAGGTCCTCTGCCCTTTTGTTTTAAAGGATGTGTGCTTTTTTTGGTGCTGAGTTGTATGAATTCTTTATAAATTTTGGATATTAATCACTTATCATATGTATAATTGGTGAATATCTTCTCCCATTCAGGATATCATTTCATTTTGTTTTGGTTTCCTTTCCTGTGCAAAACCTTTTTGTTTTATGTAGTCCCATTTGTTTATTTTTTCATTTGTTTTCCTTACCTGAGGAGATATATCAGTAAAAATATTACTAAGGATAATGTCTGAGAGTTTACTGCTGATATTTTCTTCCAGATTTATGATTTTGGGTCATACATTTGACTCTTTCATCCATTTTGAGTTTATTCTTGTATATAGAGTAAGAAGGTGGTCCAGTTTCTTTTCTTTCTTTTTTTTTTCATGTATCTGTCCAGTTCCCCCAACAACATTTATTGAATAGACTTTCTTTACCCCAAAGTATATTCTTGATTCCTTTGTCATAGATTAAATGACCATACAGAGATGGATTTATTTCTGGGCTGTTTATTCTGTTTCATTGATCTATGTGTTTTTTATTACTATGGCCTTGTAGTACAGTTTGATATGAGGTAGCATGATACCTCCAGCTGTGTTCTTCTTTCTCACAATTGTCATGGCTGCTCGGGGTCTTTTATGGCTCCATATAAATTTTAGTATTATTTGTTGTAGTTCTGTGAAAAATGCCATTGGTATTTTGATAGGGTCTGCACTGAATCTATAGATTGCTTTGGGTAGTATGAACATTTTAACTATATTAATTCTTACTATCCATGAGCATGATATATGCTTCCATTTTTGTATCTTCTTTAATTTTTTTCTTTAATGTCTTATAATTCTCTGAGTACAAGTCTTTTACTTCCTTGGTTAAATTTATTCCTAGGAATTTTATTTATTTATTTATTTATTTATTTATTTATTTATTTATTTATTTTGATGCACTTATCAATGAGATGGTTAATTCCTCTTTCTGATAGTTCATTAATGGAGTATAAAAATGTAAATGATTTCTGAATATTAATTTTGTACCCTGCTTCTTTATTAAATTCATTTATCAGTTCTAATAGTTTTTTGGTGGAATCTTTGGGGTTCTCTCTCTATAGTATCATGTCATCTCCAAATATGACAGTTTTACTTCTTTCTTTCCAATTTGTCTTTTTTGTCTTTTTTAAAAAGTCTTTTTTGACATCCATACCTCTTGAGCTCAATTTTAATCAAAAGGATCTGATCTTGATCATTGAAACTAAAAATCTGAAGCTGTCTTTGATGCCCTTCTCTCATCACTCCTAAAATTCAATGGAATACCAAGATTTGGTGATTCTGAAAAATGTTTCTCTTTTCCCACCATTCAGTCTTTCACCTTTACTCATTCAGGGATATATTATCTCCCTCTTGGATCTATCATTTTCTTCTTTTGTAATCTGTCTTGTGAATTGCTAACAGTAATGATGAGACAAGTAAAGAGTTAACGGGAATGGGCTTGTGAGCTGGCAGGATGGGACCGGCAAAGAGTTAACAAGAACAAGCTTGCTTGTAAGCTGGCAGGAGTGAGCTTAAACATTAACTGCTTGGCTCTGAATCCCCTGGCTAGTACTGCACCTACAAGCTGACAAGCATCTTACATCTATCATAGGTGGGAACAGAACAGTTCCCAATCACAACAGCAACCCCCTGCAAGCTGACATCCATCATAGATGGGAAGAGGACAGTTCCCAGGAGAAGAAAATTGTAACAGCAGCCCCCCATGCAAGCTGACAAGCACCCTACATCCTGCATGGAAACATATCAAACCCCAGCACTCCTTCTCATTGGTGCAGTTGTCTCCCATCAGCCTCTGCCCTGGCACAACTCCATTTGTCAGTATCTCTCTCTTACCCCTCTGTCTCTGCATCTCTCCCTCTCAGGCTGTGCTGGCAAAACTTCTGTCAGTTCCAAACAGAACTCTCTCTCTTTGACTTTCAAGATCCTGCACAGCTGTCCCTATCAGGCTAGGCTCTGTCCTGGCAA